TCAAGGAATTATCAGATTTAATTACACAAATGACAATAAATCAGACTATTGATGCTAGGTAATCTAAAAAAAGTTTTTGCTTTTGAGTCACTGTTGAAGATGCCACACCAAAATAAAATATGAAAACAGGCCTTCCATTTGACTAAACTAATCTGTAATTATAATTTATTTAAATCTCCACTTCATGGCTAAATCTATTTAAACCTTTGCCTTGGATCAAAGTTAAAATATCTATACAAAACACTGTAACTTTGAATTTGAACAACCAACACAACAAATAAGATGGGTTTAACCAAAATACCCGGATTTGTTCAGATGGACCTACACTGTCCAACACTTCTAACGCAAAACTGACAGATCCAATAGCTGACAAAAGCTATTGCACTTATGCAACTCAACAAATTTGTCAATGGCATGGCTATTGAGGTTACCTGCACAAAAAAGCTTTCCCTCATTGTCCGACTCAACTTGCGAACTTGCAACCTCTGGGTCACACCCCACAGCCTTGAATATCCACCACCATTATTTCCTTCTTTGACTTCTCATAGCTATAGTGTGCCAAACATTCTGCCTTTTCCGTAAGGTTCTTGTTCTTTCCACATATTGTTCCATCATTATTGATGTACTTGTCAAACGTGCCACTAACAAATTCTTCGACGGTAACGTACTCATCCCTATTTCTAATATATCCAAGCATAACTTTGTTGTAAGACAAGGTATCTCCAAACAAAATTAAATTGTCTTCTTTCTCAAGATCAGTGTGTAACTGGGCTGCAAAGTTTCTAGCTAAATAGTGCAGTTGAACTGATTTCTTTGTGTGTTGTTCTGGAGTCTGTCCAAGAGTTCTCATATCTTCCAAAGACTTGTCGAGGTAGTGCTTCACAACCCAGGTAGTGTACGAGTACTCTTTGTGTTTGCTTGTGGCCTTGAAAGCTTCCCTGAATCCGCCCGCTCCAAAAGCTGTCTCTTCCATGTTAAAGTCGACGAGAACTGGGGACGCTGACCAAGCCATAGCTTGAAAGTCAAAATTGTAAATCTCTATAGCTGTTGTTGTACGCTTGATTTGGTTGCCAAGTTTTAACATGTCAACGACGGAGAGGCTCTTAGGGATGAATCTGCTTTCAGGAGATACTTTTTCTGGTCGTATACCACAGGGATGACTGGTAGACACAATTTCCACGCCAGCAGCAGCCCTCCGAGGTGGTGGTGCTCGTACTGGGCTTGAACGTGCAACAGGCCTTGAGCGTTTGGTTTCCGGTTCGCCTTCGCCATCCGACCTCTCTATGAACCTCACGTGAATAACTTTAAAATCGGGAATTTGTTTCACAGAGAAGCAGAAAGGCCCTTGTTCGCCTGCGAGGACATCACAGCATAAAATGCCATCTTCAGGAATCCCGAAGTGCTTCATGCAAGCACTCTTTATATTCTCGATCGTGTATTCTTCGAATTCATAAGAGACGAATACACGGGCCCCAATGCGGGAGTACTTCTGCAGTTTCCCTGTGACTTCTGCGCTAAACCTTTGAACTGGTGGTGTCGTCAGGTAGTGCTACTGCACCTTTCCCCTTTGCTTTCTTCTCTTTGCCTGCGACTCTTTTCTCTTTCATTTTCTTTTGAAAGTTACGCCAATCTTTATCACGCCCAGCCGCCATGTTAATCACAGAGTTTGGCGCCACAATTGATATTAGCGAAAAGGATTATGGGATAACATCAGGTGCGAGGAGCATTTTGGGTTATGGCAGTTCTCGGCTTGTCAAGACGAAAAAAAAAATTTAAAAAAAAACGTTCCAGACCCTTAAAAAAAATATTCGCCTTAGGGGAAAAAAAAAACAAAACAAAAACAAACAAATGAAAACAAAAACCAAAATAACAATGAACAGTTTCTAATATGAAAACAAATACTTCTGTTGATATTACCTTTTTAAAAATAATTTGTAGTACTTTCAAAAGTCAAACGAATTCAAGCATTTTAAAAATAAATTGTCTTTAAAAAATAAAAAATACATCTTTAATATTTTCTTTATAGAAAAAAAATGCAGTAATTTTAAAATTAATCGATTACAAAAGTTGAATTTTCTTGAATTATCAAGAAAATTCCTTATGGCAGTTCTAGGCCACCATACTGGTGGTGTTCCTCGTCTTTTTTGTTGAACTTTTCGCCACAGTTGCAGATTATTTCCCGCATGGGGCAATCGTGGCCATCTTGGTGTTTTCTCTGCAGTTTTTCACTGCAGAGAAGGCACACCACTTCAACTTCTGAACATCGCCCTAGATGGTCTTTGGCAGCGTCCAGTTTGATCCTTCCCTTGCAGGCTAGGCATTCACCATCAATTGCAGTGATTAGATTGCTTGCAAAAATATTTTTGCAAAAGGCGATCACCACTTGGCGGCACATCGCACACTGAATGGCACGGGATGTTTGCTGGAATCGGTAAACGCATTCGCCGCAAAACGTGTGACCACATGGCGTGGCTATTTGTGCGTCGAGTAGAGGCTTCTTGCTAACAAAGCAGAATTAACATACGCTTTAGGATGCTGCGATCATCTAATATCATTGCGAACGAAAAAAATTCTCTCGCATCACAAAAGTTAAATTCCAAATGGATACCAAGGACAGAGCTCTGCAATGCGTGCGAAATGATTACAATGGGATTTCAAAAGTAACTAAATTGTCAATTACTTACCACACATTACAAAGATACTCTTGGGGAAGTTCCTCGCTATAACCGATAAGATCGAATAGGTCAGTTCCTGGTAGAGAGAAGCTCATCGTTCAGCGCAATCGTTTACTCTCGTAAAGTAGTAGGCGTAGTAGAAGCGTCTCAGATATTTGATGTGCGATGATTCACTGAGTGACGCTAAAATCGGAAGCTGATCATATTTCTTAAAAGAAAGGGCTTTTACTCCCAAGTGACCATTGGGAAATTTGCTACCCATTCTGTTATCATGTTATTGAATGGCCATGATTTTTTTTTCTGCTTGCTGTCCGCCTCTGCTTTTCTCTCAAAGGCTCTCAGATCCGGTGGGCATGACGCAAAAGTGAAATGCACGCGAAATATTAGCGCCCGATCCGCGTAAAACGGGTGGATCATTTGTTATTAAGGCTCTTCCGCCCATTGTCACATCGGTTATCAAACTGGAAAATGTTTAATTTGATCTAAAAATTTTCCTCGCGAGTATCTGGCGCTCTTAAAATCCCCAAAATGTTTGTAAGAAATTTCACGTATTTCAGTTCCAGCCTATTTGTGATTCATCGTTTTGAGGAAATTTCGGTTTCAATTTGTGCTGAAGCAACATCTAAATTTTTTGCCTTGAATGAAGCCGTATTTGGTCTCAAGGGTCGGTTCTAGCAATTGACGCTGCTGAGTTACAAGAAAATAGCGGTTTCGTGAAGCCATTAGTCTAGTTTTTTTTTCTGAAATGAGTGCATCCGAATTACTCTATGTCACATATTTGTTTTGTTATGCTCTCCTCATTTCCTTAGAGTCGATTGCAGTTAGAATGGTCCCTGGAAAAAAACGTGGGTCTTGAATTCTGAAACCGAGGTCTCGCCAGGTCTCGAAACTACCATTCTGTACCCCTCGTATTGAGTGGGTCATGTTATTAAAGCCAAAAACCACCTTCCGGTAGCACAAAAAAGGGGGGCATTAGCTTCGACAAATTAAGTGTGCCGTATAACTTTAACGTTGCTTATTCCGCTTATTAAATACACGGAAGTTACATTTTAAAAGTCGCTCATCAAAATTACTCCTCAACCCTTTCTCGCGTCAAAACTGGCGTTTTCTCCCGATCAAAGCACTCTATGTTTTATCCACAACTCGTACAATATAAATTGTCGGATATGATGAATACCTTCAACAAGCTAATGGGAGTATCGACTCTATGATAGTGAAGAAAGCGACCCGAGAAAGTAAAGTCTCTCACGAAACGGATTATTCTAAACAAGAGACAAAAGAGATTGAACAAAAAGACTAAGAAAACTGCGCACGGCTGATATATATAGATAAAAAATATATGCAGTTAAAACAGATTAAAAAATTCATTAAATAATTAAGAAAAAGATCTTTAGTTTCCCTTGCAGGAGTGAGAAGTCAAGGAAGGATTTCTTTGGTTTGATAAAAGTAGTGGGGCTGTAACTTTCCGTCGCACCTGTAAAATAAAACGATCTTTTTGCGACCGCTTGCTTCACTTTCGGTATATGAATATCATTGTAGCGTCTAGATGTTACGGAGTGTACAGAAGCATTTAAATTAAAATAGTTATTCAAATAGGGTGGAACTGAACCGTGAAGGCATTTTTCTTGTTAACAAAACAATGTGAGTTACGCCTATTAACCAAGGCACTAAACCCAAGGTTTCATTCAGTTCCAGTGCAGTATCGAGACCAGAATTTCCAAAAATTAACTTCGCGGCTCTATGCTGTAAACTCTCGAGAGCATCAGGGTTAACTTTTCCTCACCCGTGCCAGGCCACCTCACAGTAATCAAAAATGGGTGAAATCATCTTCTTGTCGAGGCGTTCAGCTGCAACCATGGGAATAGAGATTCTCAAAGGCCTAAGAACACCCAATTTTCTTGAATAAAACTTTGTTGACTACGTGCGCAATGTTGTTGGTAAAGTTCAAGTGCTGATCAATCACGACGCCAACATATTTGAAAGAGTCGGGTGCAGTCACAGAAGATCCGTTGTAGGATAAGCTTATACTATCTTACCTCTTGAGCCGTTGGTATGCACTATAAATAACATATTCCGTCTTGCTCATTTTCAGAAATAGCTTGTTTTCTTAATACACGTTGTTTTAAATCAGCTTTGCAGTAGTCTTTGGACTTCTCGTTCTTGTTTTCTTGCATCCACGAAGAAGTATGGTTGATATCAGGGTTGAGACATGCTTCTAACTCAGTAGCAGTTTTAGCGGCAAACTCAACACTACATCGTCAGCATCCGGCAAAACTTGTGAGAAACAAATACAAGAGGATCCTTGGTACCGCCTTCTTTAAAATGAAGTTCAGAAACTCCTCCAGGTGCAGCTCAGCCCCCTTCTGCCTACCCACTTCATTCAGAATTTCAATCCATAGCCAATTACTCGTGTAAATTTTATAGCGATCGGACAAGGAAAAAGCACTTTTAAGGCGATTGAAAAATATCGGTATGGCCTTTGAAAAACTTTATCGAAACAAACTAACATTGCAAAATTCATGCAAAACAAGGCGGAGTCAAGGGGTGGGCAGAAGGGGTGCTTAGAGCTTTAAGCTTAGAGTAATTATCACGTCCACAAATTTGGAATATAGAACAAGAAGAAAGACAAAAAAAAGAAAGTGGGCGGCAGGCCAGCGAAACTCTACGAGAAAAAAAGGGGGTCAGAGCTGTAGAGTGAGAGATAAAAAGACATTTTTCCCTAGAATTTTGTAGCGGAGGTGACAAAATGAGAAATGCTAGCGGCCACCAATGCAAGGTGAAAAAGAGCGGTAGTGAAAAATAGTGAACGAGAACAAGTACGACATTTCCTCGATAAAACGTTTAACTTAGGAGTTTTCCTGCAGTCGTGCACGACAACGGCAAAGAAATGTACAAAAAAGTGTGCTGCACGTGCAAGGTTGCTTTTTTTGCTAATTAGACCTATCGTTGTTTTTTCGCCGTTCTCGTTGCCTTAGCATTACACGATTTTATATTTTGTTTGAACGAATTATATATATTATCGAGAGCTTCGCTTTTAGCCCTGGCTGGTTAAACACTTTGTGACCTGATACGCATGATTCTCAATATGAACAACTTCTCTTGCAATGACAAACATTACTTATAGACACATGGTACCGCTATGGGGACAGTGATAGCTCCGTCATACGCCAACCTTTTCCTCGCCAAATTCGACACGGATGCCTTATCACGTGCCCCTCTCCAGCCCTTCATATGGTGGCGTTATATAGACGACATCTTCATAATATGGACATGATACTTCCCTTCTCAATTACATTCACCCCACCATAAAATTCACATACGACTATTCCTTCACATCCATACCCTTTCTCGATGTCAACGTCTCACTTGACAATGGCACAATCGTCACTAACCTTTACACCAAACCTACAGACAAAAACGAATACTTACTACATTCGTCATGTCATCCCATACACACCTGAACGTGCTATTTCTTTCAGTCTAGCTCTTAGACTCCGCCACATTTGTTCAACCAACGAGACCTTCACACTACGTACCAATGAAATTATTTACTATCTTAACAAATGTGTTTATAACCTCTATTTCCTTCAACGGGAAATACAGCAAGTTAACAATATCACACGGACAGAAGCACTTACGCCCCATGACACCTGTATACTGGACAAACAAGAAAGTGTTCCCTTTGTTATCACCTACAACCCAACCCTTCGTTTCATCTCTTTCATTATTCGCAAACACTTTCAAATCCTTATTTCATCCCCCCGTTGCTATAACGTCTTTAAAGCTGCACCCATTGTAGCTTATAGACGTAGTAGTAACCTCAGTGATTTTGTAGTTAGGGCCAAACTTCGAAATTTCACACAACTCAACCAGCCCCGGGGCTGATACCCATGCGGAAAAAACCGTAGCACTTGTAAAAACATATCTGAACGACAAACGTCATACACATTCCACGCTACAGGCGAAACCAGACCTATCACTAATCACATTGACTGTAACTCCAAAAACGTCATTTACGTGATACACGGCAACCACTGCTCCAAACAATACACGACGACTCAAAGACCGCTTCAAAGATGAACACCGCAGACCAGTTGAAAACCCATCTATTATCTCTAAACCCACCACAGTCTCAGGACACTTTCTTACTAATGATCGATCTTCCTGCCAACGACGTCACACTTATCCCACTAGAGCTCATTAAATCTAATAGAGACAGTGTACAAAAAGGTAGAGAAGCGTACCTCATCGACAGAGGTAAAAGAGGTAAAACTCTTGAACCTTCAGGTATGAATGAGAAAGATGAAATGTAATACAGTCTTCATTTCTTCTACTTGTTATCATTTTCGTATACTATTTTTACATTTCAAATTTCTTTCCAATCACTACTTCAACGGTTTTGGTTGTGAACGTTCACTTTTTTCTCATTTCATATTTCACGTGTTATCAAATTGCACGCTATTCTTCATTTCAAATGGTAACGTCTTAGCTTAACTTAACGAAATATTGGCAAAAATATATTTATATATTCCCGACTGTAAAATCATTGAATTAAAATATGAAAGAAATAACGAAGAGGATTCCGGTCTAAAGCATTAGATCCTATCGGCCAAAACCGCCTGGACACCTTAACACTAGTAAAGTTTACTCAACGTAGTATTCTTTATTGCTTCTACACTACACTGATTTCATAGATTTCTGTTTTCAGTCGTAACATTTTTAAAACGCACTTAGATTGAGCGCGAGGCGCGAAAACTAAGAAATCAAGCTATTATCATTGAAAGGACGGGCTTGTTACATTTATTAACTATTTGCATTCTGTTTG